TCCCGAGAATGATACAATTCACAAAATTATAGAAAATTTTATAAAATTTGCTGGAAAAACATAATGGCTTTATGGAAATTTCGGTCAGTGCACACATAATACCATGTATATACGTAAAGTGAGTAAGTAGGGTCTTTGTGTTCGCGGTACACATATGAACGGTATAATCTGGTCTCCCGGCACTCCCGGCGTTCTCTCTCTTTCTTTCTCCGTTTCCCCTGAAGCACGTTATATAAGAACAAGAACCGCCTCAGACTGGCCGTGAACTTACCGGCGCGGCGTCGTCGTCTTCGCATTCGAACATAGCCGCCTCCCTTTCCACGCGAACGCGAGGAGAGGAGAGCCCGTTCGGTGCACTCAGCTCGGCATGCACCCGGGAGGAAGAGGGATAGGAGGAATGCGATCGATTCAGTTATTCTTTCCACCGGGATCCACGGACGAATCGCTTCTACCTGCCTCGCTGGCTGCAGCCACCCGACGCTTTATCTCGCGGCAGAAACATTTTCTAAAGAGTTTCAACGCTGCATTCCGTAGCTACGAACCGTAAAACTATCACGAGCTGTTTTCCAGAGTCAAACTCTCCAACGTACAAACTCCATGGAGTACGATTTTTCGATCATACGAGATCAATAGACAGAAGATTTTTATGCAAAATAAAACACTGATGGTATCAGTTAAAAAAATACATTCTAAATAGACGTTTCTCTTATCATGTAAACATAGTAAATAGCCACTTATATTTTAACATGGCAAACATTCTTCATTTCGACATTTCGCTATTTAGAAATCAATTATGAACACTCAAGGAAATACGCAAAGAAATTATTGAACAAATCTAAATCTACATAATATTAATCGCTACATTGTTTTTATCTGATCCCTGCGACTGATGCACAGACATGCTGTCTCCGAGTTTCTTTTACGAAGTAAATCTTGAAGACTAATTGAATTGTCAACGTAAAAAAGATAATCCTGTGGTTAAAATACAAATACACAACGAATTTAAACAACGTAACGAACGAGTATGTATGTCAATACGCCGGTACATTTCATACGCAGACAAAGAACCCCGTCTAGGTATGATATGATTTACGCAGCGGTTTGTAGAAACGTGGAATGCATTTCTGTCAAGAGAACAAAGAAAAAAACTTTCTTTGGCCGACAGGCGATGCAGCCGTCGTCATAACGTTTTAAGGTTCATTTATACTGTGAACGAGCAGAGTAGAATAGAAAAATTCGGATTCATAATGTGTTGTCATTGTTTTTGATTATTAATTAATATATATATGTATGTATTTATAATAAATAAAAAGTCCTGTAATCGTACGAGCGTCGTTCTTGATTAGTTGGGAATTTTCAAAGAACTCGTCATACGTTTACACTATTGGAAAATCAATATTATACATACTAACAGATAACCAGAAATAAGAATAAAATATAATGAATTCGTTCTTCGACTGCAACTTCATTTTGATCAGCTCGTTCACGGCTGGTCGGTAGTATAATATAAGTGAACCTTTATCCAGGGATTCCATACGTTCCATTGGCATACTATTCGTGTGAAATACCGTTCGTTTTTTGTCAATTTGAAACAAGCATCCAACCAATCACAGGTCGTTGACAGCGAGCATTGTTTTTAGTTCGCGCATTTTTGCTTTTTTGTATAAATTCAAATCGGTTTAACGAGATACGTGATTTATTTGCTTACCGCTCGACTGCTAACGCTTTATACAAGTATGTTTATGAAACACGCTAATGTTCCTTATTTTGCAATAAAATTCTACTTACAATGTCGTGTATTTTCGTCTTACTTGCGTTATCGTAGAAATCGGTACATGCAAATTAATTCGATCTTCTGCGGTTCGTAATGTTATCCGGATTCGGTGTTTCGTAATGATCTTTATGTAACTACTTTGTAATCCTTGGTGAGAATTTAGTAGCGCGAGTTAACTTTTTCTCGTATACGCAAATCGGCCGCGTCTGCGTTCGCGTCCACCGGTTGCATAAAAAGGTGAAAACAAAAGTCGAACTACTGACGTTTATAGGTTAAGTTGAGGCGCTTATGCCAATATACCCTCCAAACAATTTTCAACGAGAAATGATATACATATATCGTTTAATTTGTTAAATTCCCAGCTTTAAAATCATATAGAAAATGTGATACGTGACTTTTTGCACGAAAAAAGGAATCATAGAACTTGTTTACATGATACACGCTCGTACATGTTTGTAAATTACAAATGCGAGTTTGTCCTCTAAAAGGATCATATAAGCCGAGTTATTTTCTTTGAAACCGCGATTATTTGTGTAATAGTTTATATAATGGCATACTAAAAAACTTCATACTATTCCACTGAGCACGGTTAAATTCATCCGAGAATTTATGAATTATGCATCAAGTTTCCGAGTTCTGATGTCTTCCAGCTATGATGGTATACACATAACTATCTCACGTAATCGGCCGAGATTCCAAGATCCTGAAGTCGAAACTAAAGGCGACGAGTTTAGGGAAGATAGATATCATGTCTCACTCACCGAGATGAACCGCGAGGTGGTACCTCTCGAGGGCTTGACCCAGATGACCCTCTTTCATCAGAATGTCACCCTCATGTCTCGCCCTGCTGGCCTCAGCCTCGCGCGGCCACCACTTTTCCACCAGTCTTTGCACAAGCACATTCGTCTCACCCACAACAAGAACCCTTTGCCCGCACACGCGACAACTCTTCCCGGGCTCAACGCAATTCTTGCAGTACGTATGACCACAATTGGCGGTCACCGGTTGGTAGAGAGTACCGTCACAGACAGGACACGCGAATAACGTCTCGCTCTTCCTCCTAGAGCTGGTCGTTGCCGCGCCGGACATCTCGTCCAACAACGCATTCGCCAAATGTTTCAACCTTTCCGGTGGCACCGAGGTAACCGATAAACACTTGGAGTAAACACCGATGGATTCGCGGATCCTACCGCACTTGGCCAACGAATCACCATAACCGACTAGTACGTCAAAACTCGGCGCTTGATGCTTCAAACTCCGCTCGTACATCTCCACCGCGAGACGATAGTTACGCGTGGCGAAAGCTTCTTTAGCTAACTCGGTCATATTCCCGGATTCCGATCAACGCCTTCGAAAGAGCCTCGTTCACGCGTGCACAGGTTGAACAGCGCGACACGACTCGTTGCTACTCGATACTTTCGAAGGGGTGTTCTCAGGACAATGCGCATTTTAGCCCATCCTACCGCTTCGAATGATTTCTATTATCCACTTTCTTCGTGTTATTCCAAACACTTCACAGAGACGCGGACACTTTGAATTTATTATTATCGGGCAAGGCCGGTGTTCGTTCGCTGGCCGATAAGTCGATCGCGGCGTTTGACAGCTGGCCGGCCACGCGGCACGGTAATAATCACGGCGCGATGTACACAGTCAACGCATCGAAACGTACAGCACGACGGCGCACTGACGACTGACTACTGACTCCACTGACTCGACTCGAGTCGGCTGCTGTCACCGCTCGTTCGGCTCTGTCAGAAACATAAACCGAACGGGCGCCCGAGAGGGGTGCCCAGCAGCTGTTGGTGGTGGCCAGATAGTGGCGGCAGCGACGACGGCGTCGGTGCAACCGCGGCAACGACGACAGCGCCGTCTCACGGTACTCGTGATCTACCTACTATACTCGCCGGCTATTTCGTGCTACGTGCTTACTTGCCACGCTCTCTGCTCCGCTGTCTGTCAAAGGACTGTGTGTGAGTGTCCGCGTTGGTTTCATGCCACACCCCCCACTACACAATCCAGGCATCATTCTTGCCTCCCTCAAACACCGCTCCGGTTTAACATTCTCAATCTTACGAGGGTGTCTCGTCTCCTGATCTTGCGATCGGTCAGTCAAATATCACATGCTACGAAAATTGTACGAATTCATTGTTCATTGAACTCTTTCACACTTAAATCTATCTTGGTCTGACTTCATTGTCTAAAGGCTTGCAGATCCACGTTTCATAACTTGTTTCATCGTCATTTGATGATTTCGTAACAGTTTGATCAATAATACTCAAGCATAAATTAACTCATTGCTTTATTGATGAATTCACGTCCGCAGCTCGTTTGAATTTCAGGATAAGACTGAACACACCTTGAGTAACGATCACCGAGAATGTAATATCATAGAATCATTTCATTTCTCGTATTAAAATGGATTATTAATATACCGTTCATCTTGCGTCGGTCATAATATTTCAGAGTATCAACAGGCTCCACTCGAGCGCGGCTTCTCGACGCTCGAGCGTATCGACCGGCGTCACCCCTTGCAAACTACCCGCGCTTTCAATATATTTACAATAACAATAGAAGAAAAAGGTTCCATAAAAATCGTCGAGTCTTTTCTCTCACGGATTCAGTCGGTTCTACATATCTAGATAGTAAATATTGCAAGGATTGTCCAGTATTTGGCAGATGCTTACTTCATAGTAGAACCACTAACGGTAGAATGTGTATACACTAAGGATAAGCACATCGTATAAGTTGAAATCCATTCGGATCGTATGCTAGTATAATATAAACAGGTTGCAGCCCGTAGCGCAGGGGTGGAGGACACTTGTTGTCTCTGTGTATCTCCGCGGCGATCGTCAGTGGGTTCCGTCGAATGGATTCGTCGGCGAAGGCACTCGGAATCTCTTTGTCGTCGCGCGAACGAGCGGGATCCGCGATCGCGACAGTGAGCTTACATAAAGAGCATCGCGTCAGTGCAGAAAACGTGGCGGGAGCCGAGGCGACTTTCGATTGGATCAATTATTCCACGGGCGAGCCTCGGCTCTCCGGGCTCGAGGAATCTTACTGAGCATGAGCAGAAACGTTAACTTGGCTTACACCATTTTACATGGCACCATGCTACGGCAGAGACCTGCGTGCGCTGCCTACCCCTGGGCCTGTATACTTCGTGCGTGAGATTACGCAGCCGCAATGCGAATATCCTCACCTCCTTTGACTTTTGTTTTGATTCATGGTGTTGGAGGCAGGGTTCATATAATTTTTCCCGCGCGGCTCGCTTCCCCTCTTTTTCGCTCGTATTTCGATCCCCACGACTATTCTCCTCATGCGCCTTCGCTGACCATGCCTAGCATACCCCCATCAAGTACCAGTCCCCACCATGGTCGCGTCGTCCCCACTTTCCGACCGAGGGATAAATTAGACGATCCCTGGTTGGAGGTTCAACTCGTATCGTTTATGGGATGGTGCCGGTCGTTTTAGGGTTCTAGGGATCTGAAAAGAACACCGATCAAGGATTACAATATCGAAGGCTACTTCACATCGGGGCCCAATCTCCAAGAAATCTTATCTTTAAATCCTTCCGGCGCACTTACAAATACCATACGCAGGAGTGTTAACAGGCAGTTGTCTGTCGAGCAACAATTTAAACGCGTGGTGCACCCATAGACATAAGAGAATAGACCGAGCCTATTGTGACTCAGTAAAAGATAGTGAAAACACGCATTGGGAGAGTTTCTGTCTTTCTTTTATGTGCGAAAAAAAAACCTCCGAATACTCCGCGTTTCTGTATAAAAAAATCTTACAGAAAAGATATGAAAAATTAGTTAAAATTGTGAATAAATTGCTACTTGGAATTCATATTTTTAATTATGAAGGATGAGTCAATAAGACAATTCTAAAAATTCTCATAAATACGTTTAATTGATCAGCTGAATTGATTATAAAATGTATATAAGACCAAGTATGTAATTAGCAGCGAGATTATAAGTTACAACCTTAACACTTTATCTACGATTACATCTCAACGTCTTTCATTTCAAGTCGAGATGAACATACAAAGTGTAATAACGCAATACTCTGTAAGTAAATGAATGGCAGTTATCTAAAGAAACAATGTACCGATTGACACCTACCTATTTATCGAATGATTGATCTCTTTATTAATTTCTACACCTGACCGTAACTGTATGATCCGTGTAAGTAATGAATTTTCATGATTAGATCGGTTTCTACGTAGGCAGTCCCTTCGCTTTTCATTTTTAATTGATCGAAGCTTCTTACAGATTTTCTACTCACAATTATTAAATTGTATTCATCACATGAGCTATTAAATTGTAATAACAATTTAAGAGTTAAAAAAGTGGATCTTATACTATATGCAACAGTTTCTTTAATCATGTAAGTATTGCAACGTGCAATCAACTTTTAGATATATAAATAATTAAGTCCACAGTCGATCAATAATTATTTAAAGTACCAATAGTTATTATTCCCCTTATTGGTCTCTTTGGGGTATCAATGGCTCAGTGCAGGATATATTTAAAACAGACAAACAAAATGTACGGAAAATACAAAATAACTTATAAATAAACTTGCACACGTAAAACTGAAGAATAAAATCATAAGCACCGATTTGTCTAATAAATTGACTAGAGCATCACATTTAATAATCTTGGCTCTTAATCAATACGCTTTACTTAACTTTAAAACGATCTATCACCACTTTTTCAGCCACAGAATCATGAAGTCCAATTAGGAAACGCGAGTAACTCGCATGCACACGGTGACAACGTGATAGCTTAGCTAGGGAGAATTATATAATTTGTTTAATTAATTGCAAGCGTGATAGGCGCGTCTGCCAGACTGGTGATACCTTAGCATAGCAGTTAGCGCATCCAGTCTGGCAGCTGGTCAGTTCGAAACCTAATCCGCAGGAGTTGACGGCACCATCGGTGTAAGCAATTTACGAGTACACCAACTACCGCCTCTGCTACCGCGTACACTCGCTCTCTCGATCGTTTCGCCTTTACATAATCGTTGTTTTCGTACATTTCGAGTTTCGTGGAAACTGACGACAACATCATGGCCGTTGTCGACGAGGCATGCAGCAAAATAAATATCGATTATTGCAGATAAAATTAAGCCTACGTGTCCTAATTACAAAATGAAAATTGTTATCACCTATCAAGTCGTTGTAGCGTGTAATAAGAATAGAAATGTGTATATGTATAATATGTAGTAGTAAGTTATTTATTTATCTACCTTACGACATTGCAAACGTGTTACATGTTCTATTATATAAATATGAATTAGAAATATTTATGTATTCATATGAAACAAATATTGTGCCGCAAGACATACTAAATATTTGCATTATTCATTGTGATATGAACAATAATTTCGATGTGATATTTGAGTAAGTCATAAGATTATTAATTACCGTTAATATGTCTTCAAACAATTTTTATCTGCAGTTAATGTTACAAGTTAACTGATCGATTTAATCCAGATTGACTTTTTAAAGTGCAGTCTTGCGGTTTATCGTGGATTTTCAGATTATAATCAGCCTGTGAACGAAAACACAAAAACATCGTGGTGTTTACCGTTTAGCACTCAGTAACCTAGATACTCGGTTCAAATAAGTTGGAACATGAATGATTTTTAACTAATTTTACTGCCAATTATTTTTACTTAAATACATTTTATAAT